CCCCCCCTGACCACCCCTCTCGACAGGCCTGCTTAGAATAAGGCAGGCTGCTTCAACCACCGTCAGGGCCGACATGGGCTGAGTGGGATAGATCTAGGCCTTACCACATCTCAGTGGACAAGCGGGGGTAGGCCTAGATCTTGATTTAAAAAGAAAAAAAAACAACTACATAAACGAAAACAAGAACACCATGAAGAAGAAGAAGAGCAACAACAACAACAACAAAAAGCAGTAAGAACAAAAACGCAAATTTAAAAAGCTGAAGTTTAGTAAAGTTTTGTTTTGTTGATCATCTCACTCATCAGCTAAGAACTTTTTAAACTTCCTATACCAGCACGAAAAACCGATAAACTGTAAACAAACATTCCGATAAACTGATTCTAACAAACTTTCAGGATTCACGCACCCCACATCTTGTGTTCGTTCAGTTGTCTTGTCACCTAGATCTACATCATGGCTGGGACTGTCCTGAATTTCAACGTTGGTGTTCTTGGACATGTGGACAGTGGGAAGACAAGTTTGTCCAAGGCTTTAAGTACTGTAGCTAGTACTGCTAGCTTTGATAAAAATCCCCAGAGCAAGGAGCGTGGGATAACTCTGGATTTAGGATTTTCTTCCTTCAATGTCGACGTAAACGACGACAAGAAAGAGGAACTAAAAGGATACAGCCAGATACAGTTCACATTAGTTGATTGTCCTGGTCATGCCAGTCTAATAAGAACTATAATAGGAGGTAAGATACAAGGCACAAGCTGATAATTAGAGAACGACAACTAAACTACTAAACGCCCATTTGTCGATATTTATAAACAGCCATCTTTTTTTACGTCATTGAGGGATTCCCACTTTGTTGTCATTCATTGTGGCAACATGACTGCATGACGACAGTCTTCTGACTCAGATTAGATCTATTTTCTTTGCAACTTGCAAAATGATGAAAATGTCTGACTATTCGGTTCGATTGTCTGTGATTGTGCAGTACCCTTTTTCCGCCGAGATTGATTCTGATGCTGTACACTAAGATCTAGATTGAGAAGAAGAAGAAGACTAAGAGTAGGCCTACGTTCAAAAGCAAGTTCAAACAAAGTAAAGTTCAACGACGCAGTGCAATAATGGACCGTTTCGATCCGGATTGTTTTTTTTTAAGTTTTGTAAACAAGAAAGAAAGCATGCGGCAGGTTTCACAATTCGCAGTGGCTATTTTTACGGCGAGCCGTAAAGATAGCCTCCCAGGCTATTTTTACGGCGTGCCGTAAAGATAGCCTCCCAGTGAGTCCCAGGCTATTTTTACGGCGATCCTCGAAAAGCGACCCCTACTCCGCCTCTCATGTACGCGACATTATTATATTATTATTATATATTATAACATTTATATAGCGCATTTCCAAAGAAAGTAGCTCAATGCACTTTACATTGGAATACCCATTTTTCAAAAACCTTTCTTACTGTACCACTTCCTTTCTTCTCAAGCAATATACATTTAATGCACACACACACATACACACACACACACACACACTAGGTAGCGTAAACACGGCCTTGCGGTCACTCGCGGCCTTCCAACCGCGTGGTATCGGTAAAATCGGGTTAATTCTGATCGCTGTTTCTTTGCTCTTTCGCTATAAAACACCAAATGCCGTACACCTTGTAAAAGTTCAGCTTTTCGTCGTTACAATGGTGTAAGTTGTTGGAAGAGGCTAGCCGTACTTAATGACGGCTAGACTGGCAGTCTAGCCATACTTAAGTACGGCTAGACTTGCAGTCTAGCCGTACTTATTCTTAATATGATGGCTAGACTGACCATTTACAAAGAATAGGCCTACTGAATTGTAAATATATACATTTTTAGTGTTCAGTACCTAAAGTATATTTGTGTATTTGAGACGAAACCAGGTGCCTTAATGACAGTGCATTTTAAACCTCCTGTTTTCTAATGTTAATAGGGCCTAAGATAAGTACGGCTAGACTGGCAGTCTAGCCGTACTTAAGTATGGCTAGACTTCTTTTCTAGCCGTACTTAAGTACAGGTAGACAGCCAGGCTAGCCGTACTTAAGGACGGCTAGACTGTCAGGCTAGCCGTACTTAATATTGATGGCTGAATTGTAAATGAAATTTTTAGTTTGCAATGCCTAAAGTATTTGTATTTCAGACAAAACCAAAAGGTGCCTTACTGACTTGCATGTATTTGAACCTGAATAATTACTAGATCTAGATCTAATGAGACCTGTGTACTTAACAGGTTTCAGTCGATAGGGCCAAACCTAGATCTAAGTACGGCTAGACTGGCAGTCTAGCCGTACTTAAGTACGGCTAGCCACTTCGTAAGTTGTTTATATGTCCGATTATTAGGAGCTGGAGAATCGCCGACGAAAGCGAAGCCCCTCGCGGTCAGAATGCGAGGTCGGCCGGTTGAAAAATTGACACGCCTGCATTCAAATGCTTCGCGGAACGAGGGATGATTAAATACCGTCTTTTCATTGGCGGAGAACTGTAGAGCTTTAAACGGGCTTTCCCGTGATATAAGTTTAGCTTTTGGCGTCTTTATAGAAAGCTTTTAAAAATACCGTCAAAATGTTTAAAGTAGCAATGCCAATGAAAATTTAAATTTTCACTTTTGCCCCCTTTTTTTTGGTACCTAAGAAAGAATTTTCAATTCTAATAATCATGCTTCTTGAATTTTGAGATTCGGTTCATAAATAAAAATGTTATGGGGTTGTAAAGGTCGGCAAAATATGGATGACTCACATATAGGAAAATACTCCTAAAAAGTGGACCACGCAGTAGCAGATTCTGTAAGAAAATCGACTATATCTCGGTAACTAATCCGAGTGTTCCAGAGAAACTTGGCTACCCGATGTGTTTTTGAGTGTAGAAATCATTTCTGCAGTCAGATTTACTACCAATTTCGTAGTTATTTTGTTATAATTAAAATTGTGGTGTACATATTACGATTTTGCGAAAAAGGGGTGTCGGGATGAGTCCATTTTATTTATAGCATCGTATCACAACATGGGATCTTTAAGAATATATGTCGGCAGCGTGACTAAATAATTGCAAAGCTTTTTATGATGACTTTAGACCATGCCAACCGTAAAAGATAAGTTAATTCAATCTAGCATGCCGTACAATTAAAAATTCTTTTTCCCCGTTGAGACGCGTACACCCCGAGACGAGATAACCTCGCCTCGGAATACCCCCATTGCGATGTTACAGGGGAATAGAGAGAAAAACAACCGGATGCGCGCGCCCGCCATTTCATTGCCCTATTTCAAGTGACCAATGAACCATCTGAAAGCTTAATTATTTTTGTCTTGCTTTAGATGAAAACAATACCCATTAATCTCGAGGAGAAGTCAAGATATTTTTGCTTTTGAAGGGACATGATAAAAGGCGTTGAGCCAAAAAACAACGTTTTCATAAAAATTGTCAAACTCTAGCAGAAAATTGCCCGCTCCTCGATTTCACTATTTTGACAAGTGCCTGATTTCACCACAATGCCTCACATTATTTGTATGGCAGAGATGTGAGTTTGAAAGTGGGGGTCTTTCAGTTTTGTCACATTGTCAAGTCCTACTGTCAGGTGATTAGCCATGTTAAAGTCATGGGTGATGTTGTCTGGTATGAATATATAAATATTCATTGTGTGTGTCATGAGTCGGTTGTTGTCATTTTTGTAATGAGAGACTACTGGATGGAGTGTCTTCTGCCTCTTACAGAAGTGGGCAGACTTCACTACATAAAGGTAAGTTGTTTATTCTATTCTTGGTAAAGTCCTCAACAAGAAGGACCTCATCTGCAAATGAAAGGAGTAGACAAATGATGTACAATGTACACTTCTTTTCTAGCATACATCTAAATTGCAAAGGGGTAAAAAAAAAGTCTGTGAACATTGTTTCAGTAGGCCTACTTTATTATACTTATACATGATCTCACCTGCAAAGGTGTAGAAATTAACATGTAGGTGAACTCTTCATTCTAGATCTGGTATCAAATGCTTTAAAATTGAAAAATATTTAGAAAAGAAATCTATAATATCTATGGCCTGCAAAAGAAAAAGGAAATAATTGTATAACCCCAAGTCCAAACTCAACCAAGACTGATTGGTAGCCTACAGTAGCCTAGACCCTAAGTAAGCAACACAGAAAAGATAGACTGAAATTGCCCACCAAGCTTTTAAGCTAAAAATAGTAAAAATTGCCAAAAAATAACCCACAAATGATCTAGATCTAGAAGAATGTAATGTAGCCTAGATCTAGATCAAGCTCTATTTTACACCTCAAAAGTCTGTCAAAGTTCCAATATTCCCCCTTTCAAATCATCAAAATGCTTTTTTTTTTAAAGTAGCGAAATTTTATTAAGATCAGCAATAAATAACCCACGCGAAACTGAAACGCGCAAACACATTTTTTCCGACGCCATGCGATGTCACGTCCTTCCGAATCCGTCACGAAACTTCAGTGCATTTTTTACCATCAGCGTGATCACCGGCAAATGTCCATCCGAATCTAGAATGTTCGACTCAAATAAATTGCGCGTTTGCGATGTTCTTTTGATCGGAATGATTTACTATTCCCTTTATTTACTCCATTCTTGTCTTTTTTCAATTAGTTTTATATCAAAGTTAAATGAATAAACACGAAACAGTATCAGAAACTCCGATTTGATAAGAGAATGCGGAATATTTACGCAAAACTAACATTCTTGTCAATCGTCATTAGGTCGATTGCCATCGGATGGACAACATTCTAAACCCGATTGCGGATGATCCATTCACACAAGAAGTCCAGACCAGCAGCGAATATAAAATATCTGTCCCCGCGATTACGGGAACGAAGTGGCTAGCCGTACTAGACTGCCAGTCTAGCCGTACTTAGATCTAGGTTTGGCCCTATCGACTCAAGCCTGTTAAGTACACAGGTCTCATTAGATCTAGATCTAGTAATTATTCAGGTTCAAATACATGCAAGTCAGTAAGGCACCTTTTGATTCAGGTTCAAATACATGCAAGTCAGTAAGGCACCTTTTGATTTTGTCTGAAATACAAATACTTTAGGCATTGCAAACTAAAAATTTCATTTACAATTCAGCCATCAATATTAAGTACGGCTAGCCTGACAGTCTAGCCGTCCTTAAGTACGGCTAGCCTGGCTGTCTACCCGTATTTAAGACAGGAGGTTTAAAATACATGCACTGTCATTAAGGCACCTGGTTTCGTCTCAAATACAAATACTTTAGGTACTGCACACTAAAAAATGTATATTTACAATTCAGTAGGCCTATTTTTTTGTAAATGGTCAGTCTAGCCATCATATTAAGAATAAGTACGGCTAGACTGCGAGTCTAGCCGTACTTTCTAGGAAAGAATGAGAGTTTTCTGTCACATGGTATCGATAATAGCTTTCTTTGTCCGCGGTCGATCGTCATTTACTGTCGGACGGACACGAGTCACGTGACATATATCGGCTCATAATTTCTTAACCTATGACTAAAAAACGATTTTTTTTCGACTTACACGCTCAGAATAAAGTGTTAGTTTCACATGGGGGCAAGTTTTTCACAGATTTCATATAGAAAGGTAGGCTTAAATGACATTTTGTGAGCATCCTAATTCAGATGGACAGGTGTGATAACAATACTGCCTTATTATCGATCCCAAGCCTAGGTCTAAGGACATGTAGGCTTGAGATTTGCTGTTGTAACAACTCTTCAAGCTATTTTCCAAATTCTACACA